CGTTGGGATCAGCGCCGCGGACACACGGCGTTTCCTGCCAGACTCGGCACCAGCGGACGCGAAGCCAGCGGCGTGGCCGGCCGCGCTCGTGAGGGTGACGCGCGAACGCAACGCAACACCGTCTTCCGAGGGGAGGGGAAGCGTCACTGAGGAAGCGGAACTGGCGTGCGGCGTTGTGTGTCGAAGTCACTGGCTGACGGACAGAGGCACAGCAGACCACACTGATCAACTGCTAGGAGACCCTCACCAAAAACCCTGGCACGAGAAAGGGTGCCACAGTGGTCCCGAGGGGCGCTGGCCCCACGACACTGCACCAGCCCGCACGGCCCTGCCTGCGAGGGAGCTTTTCGCCCGTGAACAAATCGCCATATGGAAGGCCCTCCCTGCTCACCTGGCCTGGCCCTCAGTGACCTTCTTCTCTACCCCCAAGAAAAGGAAATCCTGATGACATTCAGGACATACTTCAAGGGTAATGCGACAGCCCATGGCCATTCCACAGAGTTCCAAAGTTGCTCCGACGGGTGGACTAGACACTGGCGTCGGCGCACAGCTTCCCCAGGGGAGTACACTTCAGAGGTGTCCAGAGTGATACTCGGCAGTGAGGTATGTAGCGCTTTTTCCGGGGCGAACTCGCGAACTTAATTGTCACAGCGTGCATATGCGAAACTCTTTCTAAAATTGGTGTCATCTTGCTTAGAGGTATCAGCCACCATCCCAAATGGTGTGTAGTAAGTTTCTGGAAAATTGTATTAGACAATACAGAGGTTGTTATTCAGATACTCGAATATATGAAATCAGCCTTTAAGTGGATGGGCGGGGGATCTTTTCTTCTTTTTCTAAGGCTGGGCTCTTAACCTGTTTCGTTTTTCCTCATCTATAAAATAAGAGGACTCGTCTAGATCTTTTTTTAAACTTTAAATAATTCTATACTTTTATAATTCCCTGGGTTTTGTTCTTATAGTCTGTTAAATGATTTCTATATTTTGTTTAAATAGTTCATTTGTCTGAAATGGTTTTTCTTCACTTTTACTGAAAACATGAAAAATGTCTACAGTATGTGTTTACTTTTTAAAAATTATCTCAAAAGACATTTTATATCTTGGAAAGAGATTTTCAAAGGATGCATTTTATATTAAAGAACAGTTGATTTTTATGGCAAGAAAATCTTCAAATAGAATTATGTGACACAAAAAGTCATTTTTAAGAGAAAGGAAAGATTAAAGTGTGGGAATTTCTGTTCTTCCCGTGTTATTTTCCTACTGGCAGTTTTCACGAATAAGGATTATAGTTTGGTGGAAAGATCTTAGGGTCTCTACCGTGGTATTTAGTCATAACACAAAGCCAGTTACATACCCCAGCGTCACAGCATTGCTGCCTGTGGAAATTCACCAACCCTGTTATTCAGTGTGCCTACTCCACTGATTAATTTTCCATTGACAGCAAAGCAAATACTGTGACAAAACAAGTTTTGCAAAATTATTATGTGATATGGACTCCACGGCAAAGGAAGGGAAATTAATTCTACAGTCCAGAGAAAGAGAAGCAGGGTGAATAGAGGTCCAGGGACCAACCAGAGTCTCTCGGTGAAGGGGACAAAGCACGCCACACAAGGGGAGGTTGGGGACCAGGACCCCCAAATGACTACTCTCTGCATCTGCTCAGAGGCAGAAGGAACACAGAATGCGTGTATATCTGCATTGTAATGAATGTGTATCATACAGCTTAACCTATAATTAAAATTTAGTGACTTAATCTGATGAAAATATCCACACAGCATTATGTAGGCAGGCATGTTTAAAAAAATATTTTAATAAGCATATTCAGAATGGCAGACAAGGAATGGGAGAAGGGAATTATTTTACAGTGCAAAATTACTATGCATAAATTTAAAAACATCTAATTTGTCATTTTAAGTGCCTATTTAAATATATGTCGAATACATTTTTAAAGCTCAACAGATCTGTGTTGAACTGAGTTGCAGATTCTGAACTCTATTTGCAACACATCAGGAAACAAAAAAAATACCATTCCAAATGATAGTAGTGCTCTGCAGGGCGTGGGAATGAGGCTGGGGTGGGGGGACTAATTAACTAGCAACAGACTTCCCAATGCAATTTGTCGAGAGCTCCAGAGTTCTGAATGCACTAAATCCTAAGCAAATTAAACTCAGGATATTACGAAGCATTTTTAAATAGTGCAATGACTTATCAAGTTATAGTGGCTGCATTATGAAGAACAAAGTACTATGCGGAATACCTGCATAACACAAATACAATGAAATATTACGAAAAGCTGAGCATCACATATTGTAATAATGGAATGTCTTTTGTTAGGCATATTTTTAGAAGATCAAGAAAAGCAAAATTTCCTAACACATGTACATGTGCGTATTTGCAAACATGCCTGAGAATTTACTTAAAACGTTCCTGTAATAATCGTTTGCAAGGACTTCACAATCCTGCAAATAAAACGCATCTTTTAAAAAATGTGAGAATGGCATCTCTAACATCGCAACAACTTAGAAAGCACAGCATCACTAATCTTTTAAAACATTTCTACAGACCATCTTTGACAAACAGCCAGGATACTTTGGATTCGTTGAACAAAAAATTATTCAGAAAATGGACTGTGACCATCTGCTAAAGCTACTGCCATTCTGGATAAAATTAATGTCTGAAGAGAAACAAACAGAAACAAAAAACTCTCACGCCTTTGGACACTTGTACCCCAAACTCCCGTTTACTTGGACATGCATGTAGCCACAGCGATGCATGTGATATGAAGTCAAATGTTGCAAAGTGCCTTTAACACTGTCTGGAAAAGTTGTTCACACTGGTGAAGGGAAGCAGTCTGGACAGCTACCAGGGAAATACTCGGTGGGGCAAGGTCTAAACGAGAACTGCTCAGTGCAAACCTCCACCCAAGTGCATTAGACAGCCAAGCCAGGAAAAACAAAACCACAGCAGATGTGCTCTAAAAAGGCATTGGCTCTTGGACCGATGACGGAAAATGAACGGGAAGAAGCATGTGGAGTACGCCTGTGTGAGGAAAACAGCAGAGTTAATAATCTTTTATAAAAGATGGATACAGGTTGGTCTATCAGCTGTATAAAACTACATTTTTTTAACAGGAATTTAACACTGAAAATAAAATGGCACGCTTACAAGGCTAGGCAGATGGATTCTGTCTGTCATCACACAGAGCAACGGTTATTGTTTATCCTCTTTTCATTTGGGGGGGGAGAAAAAACTATCAAATCTGAAAAACTGGACTATACCTGAATAAGATTCCAAACTTCATCACTGTCTCCTGATAAAGTCAACACTGCTGCCTGCCAACAGCTGCCTCTTGTGTGTGCCAATATCTAAATATCACTTGACCTTTTCCCTTCTATTCGATGCAAAAATGGGAAATTTTATAATGTGTATAAAAATAACTTAACAGGACTCTGGTCAGCATGATACATTTAAGCACTTAGAGCTGACATTAAACTTCTGTCCTCCTTAAGAAATAACTTTAAAAATCATAGGAAATGCAAAATAAACTGCAATCTCAGCATCATGCTTAATTTCTGACTTCTCAAATTATTTGTCCTTAAGTAGAAATCTGAAAAAACCAATTTTTACAATCCTTTATGAATGCTTTTTACCATCTGGATAAGAAATGACTCAGTTACTACACAAACACTTAAAAATTCATTAGAAAAATCTTAGCAAAATAAAATGAAAGCTGACAGACACAATATCAATTCCTCTCATAAAAGTTTACCAACTGTACAAGTTAAGAAAATTATACAAGCTTTTGTATTAAGAAAGGACAGCTCAGTCAAGACATATGTACTGTAAAAATCTTTCAAAGGCTACAAAGAATCTGGAAAAATACAGAATGTATTTCTTAAGCCCAGATAAGAATATGGAAAGACATCATTGATGTCAACAATTTTACATATACAAACCTGACTTGGTTTATTTTAAAATTTCTATATATAAAAAAATCATGCTAGCATAATTTTCAGGATTCATAAGGGTTTCCTTAATAATGATACTCAATTTGTATGGAGAGAAAAATGTATGTCATAGAGACATTTCAAGAAACTCAGAAAAATCGGTGTTAAACAGAAACTTGGACATGGTTTTTTCTATTCCTTCATCAGTCTAAGCAAGTATTAACCCTGCAGCGAAATGTTATGATTTAACACTTCATATGAGAAGGTACAGATATATCTGTAGTTCATTCAAATTTACTAATTTTTCAAGTATCCTTAAAAGGATCTTTTGATAGTTTTAGAGTAAAAAAAAAAAAAAAAAACCTAAAAAAGGCAGAATTATGAAATCTTATTTCCTAAAATTAACACTCCAAATTTTCCAAATGTAATCAACTGCTTCAAATAAATAAACTTTTTAAGGTAACCCATCAACCCTGAAAATTGTAGTCACACTAGAATTTACTCCAAAGAAAGTAAAATAGGTCTAAATTCAGTCATCTGTGTTGTCAAGGTCTTCAAATTTCCCATGTGAGACTGCTTCTTGGAAAAATTCAGAAGAACCTGGACTTTCTTTTCCATTGCTGTTCACCCTTCGCCTTTTGGCAGGTCTCTCACTTTTTTCATCAAAATCATTTTCACTCCTTGCAGTCACATGGGCAAGTTTTGGGTCAGAGGAAAGGTTATCTGTTTCGTAACCATTAGTGTCCATATCTGCGTGAAATGGTCTCTTGCTGCCTCCCGTTGGTCCATTAATGTGTAACCCTTCAGCTTTTACCTCTTCTTTGTTTAGTATTTCACCTGGTCCGTTGGATGACACCCCTAAGTGAGAAGAAACATAAATGAAACTGCTAATACAAGAAAGCTGAATCTGTAACTAGCATGGGACAGCTATTGTAGACCAGCTTTTCACCAAGGAAGCAAGGCATCAAGTCTGTCAGTACACACGGTTCTGAGTCCTTGCCCTTTTACTTACTAGCCGGGCGATCTCAGGTGAGTTATTCACCTTCCTGTGCCTCAGTTTAATTACACAGACAATAAGGACCACAGGGTTCTTGTGAGGAATAAGCTAATGCTGTGAAGAACTGAGCAGGGCATTTGCTAAAGGCATATCAGGTGTTGCGTGACAAGTAGCATTGGCTCCAGCAGTCTAAATAAACTGAATCAACAAGGAGAATTATGAATTATTCCGACTTAGCAAAAGGACTAAAACTCTCTAAAAGCATATAAAAGGAGAATCGGGGTTTTCTTATAGAAGCTTGAGTTTTCTACTGCCATATGAAGGCAAAAAGCCTTGACGTTTTTATTCTTAATGTAATCGATGAGAATTGTGGTTTAAATGATCACATGCTGTATTTGCCTAAGTAGATTTAAATAATCTATCGTCATTTAAAAAAATTAATGCTGCCCTGTCCAAGCACACCCTTGGAAGTGCTGAAAGTAAACACAAATTTCTCCACAACAAGTGAGGAAGGCAAAAAGCATGATGATTCTAATAAAATAAAATAAAAAGATCATGTTAGAACGGATTATAAAATGGAATTCAAATTTTGGTGAGAGGAAGGGAAAATACAGGAGACACCACTGAATAATCAAAATGTAATTGCCTGAGCCAGGTGAGGTGGCTCACATCTGTAGTCTCAGGTACTCAGGAGGCTTGAGCCCAGGAGTTCAAGACCAGCCTAAGCAACACAGTAAGACCTCATCTCCAAAAAAAACTAAGTTTTCTTGACCTGAATAATGTTCAGCATGAAGGATGAGCCTCAAATATTATATTTTGGTCTAAGAAAATATTTTATTTTCTCCAATTCAAAAATGTACTCTAACCATGGATGCATATGGGAATTATGCACTGTATGATCCTACAGGACCAGTTCTGTAAGAGCAAGTCCAAAAACCTAAGTGAGACCAACTGGGTCAAAAGTAACTACAAGATTTCAAGGCACTAACTAAAGTCCCACATAAAAAATACTGGGTTGGAAAGCTCCTTCCCAATTATTTTCTTATACTGTACATAACTGATATTTTCTTAGATTGTATATGACTGATGTGAATGGCTTCTGAGATACTGAATAATTTATAAACAACATCTGAGCATTCTTCTAGCCTAATGGCATGGTTCCATTAAATAGTTTAAAAAATGGGAAAAGGGCAAATGAAATGATTTGGTGTTAAGATGAGAAGAAAAAAACCGGAAGAGCAGCAGCGCAGTGCCACCGTCCGCCTCCCTGAGCTTCCATCCTCAGTCTCAAGGTCAGAGTCTCAGCATCTTACGTGACTCCAGGATGGATGTAGCTGGCATTAGACATCGTGTCGATGGACCATCTTGGACCAGAACACAGCTGCCGGGCCTGACCTAAGTTCTGCTTGGCTTATTCTTAGAGGGAGGCAGTGAGGGACCAGAGAGGGGTCAATGAAAGAACTAGCTCCATACACGACAGCAGCACCAAACGGTCAGAACAAGGGCCAGACCTTTCCTAGTGTTTCTCTTCCATTTTCTTCACGGGCACTTCTCTAACTCTCGCTCACCAGCTTCCCCCTAAGGGCGGGGGAACTTATTACTCTCTGCTTGGCAACTCTCTTACTTAATCAGAGTGGAAATCAAAACAGTTCTCCAGCTGGCCCTTATCATCATATCATCACTCAGTTACCTCTGCTCCTACCTACTGTATGCTTCAAACAGCCTTAAACACATTAGGAGGCCTTTGGCTTTTCTCTCACATAAAGAGAAAAGCAAATATTTCTGGTGAATATCAATTTCTTAAAGTCACTGTTGACAGTTTGCTTTATTAAAATTAGTTTTTGGTGACGTCAATAGGAATTCTTTCCAATTACTTTGTATTCTGTTAGTACATAGGTATGCTGATATTATGTATGTTTCATCCATTATTTGTCATTTTTACTTTCTGCTTTGGAAATTTAATAGAAACCCAAATGGAATTTCCTGAGCTACTGAAAGAAAAGTGTCCCTCGTTATGAAGACACGCAAGGCTTGTCTGGTTGCTTACCGTTTTGGTTACTGCTCACAGCGCCGCCGTCTTCCTTCTCAGACTGGCTGTTGCTGCTATTTGAGGCGGTTGGGGGAGGGGACGGTGCTCGGCTGGAAGCAGCACTTTCACTTTCATCCAGAAGACGATCCATGTAATCCCTTAGCAGTAAGCAAAAAAACAGTAATTATTTTCTTATATTAAAAAGCTGAAAATTGAAATTAGCTGAGGTTAACGTGAGAAGGCTTTATGAGCAAACACATCCTGATATTCACTTACATTCATTCTAGGGTCTCATCTATCATACGAGGATCTGAACATTTAAATGAAAAGCTGCTTCTGGTTTCATGTTTATAGGAAAAATGCAAAAAGGCCTTTGAAACTGACAAACTTTGGTGACCTACAGGAAGTTTTAAAACTCTGTAAACTGTAGACAAGTGCTCACAGTGGCCCAACGAAGCCTGAGGGCTGTCTAAGGGCAGAGACGTGGTGATGTCCAGCAGGAGTGCAGAAGAATGTCTCAACAGACACAGGTACTCCCTGAAAGACAAATGGGATCCTAGAAAGAACTGATCCCCTAAAGCTTCTGGACACCTTCTGCATTACAGCTCTGCAGATCTGAGCCATAACAAGCTAAGTTCCTGGGCCTATCTGCTGGCTTGATCCTGTAAGCATCTCATGAAAGGTGAGTTTGTTTCTTCTCCAAGTCGCTCCTGAGTTACACATTTGTGAGAGGAGGCACTGGGTTGGAGCTACAAAATCTGTGCTGGAGACTTGTGTCCCTAAGGTTTAGTATCTGTACCTATAAAATGTAGATCAAACCATACCTGTCCTATCTATCACACATGGTTGCTGTATTATATATGTACATGAAAATGTTTTATAACTATAAAGTATGACTAAATTACCAGAATAAAAGTCAGCATATTTCAACCTATGGGCTGGCCACCTGGTTTTTATAAATAAAGTTTTACTGGAACCCAGTCACACACCTCCCTTACACAGTATCTATGACTGCTTTTGTGTGACAATCACAGAACTGAGTAGTTATGACAGAGACCTTAAGGCCTTGGCCTCTGAGCCTAAAATATTTACTCTCCACCTCTTTACAGAAGTGTGCCAATACCTGCACTAGCATGTTCTTCTCCAAGGGCAGGGATTTTAGTCTGTTCTGTTGATGCTTGCACCACCAGTACCCAAGTTGTGCACAGCACAGAATAGAAGTGTATTAAAAAATTTATTTCCTTCACAGTAAGTATAATAGAAATCTTAAGACTAATCTGTTAGAATTTTGTGAGCAGGGTAAACACGAAACAGTGGGTGCTCTTTGGAATCTCCTGAAAGTCTGCGTTAACAGTCTACAACATACTGTTAGTTGTAGCCATGATCTCAACCTATAGGGTCGTCACTGTCCCCTGGGTTATGGGGATATAACAAATATAGGGATGTGGTCCCTGACTTCAAGAAGCTTCCAATAACCTGAGGCGTAAGATACATATCACAGAAACATATATGATGATGAGCTAATCAACGTTCTAGGCCTTACTTCCTCATCTGTAAATGGAGGCAATTAAACGCAGTGGTCTTTAAGACCTCTTCAGCTTCATGCTATTCATAATTACAGAACAATTACATATGAATATGAAGCACCCAGAAACAGAATTAAGTATTGAACTGCTATAACTGGAAACAAACCAGAAGAGTTTATCCCTGCTTACAGAAAATCACAATTTCTCCTCATTTGGAAAATAATGTGGAGTGTACTCACTGCTTGTCACCGAAAATGCAACACAGGTAACAGAGGAGTTTTAGGGGTAAAAAAGTTATGGTTCTTTTAGTTAAAAGAGAAAAAAACTACAAAAAAACCCAGAGGGGACTTGACGCCTGCGGAACCCTGGTACTCCTGCTTACGGAAAAAAACACACCTGTTTACATGCCAGGGAACCACTGTTAACTTTAAAGCTTGAGGAAAAATGATTCAGATTATTTTCAACTGTGGCTACTCCACCTATGGAATATTTAACCTTACGAAGAATCGTGGTTACAGATAAAAGTTTTCAAAAGCCATGAAGAGATTCTTAGAGAAACTAGAAGATTTGCTGGCACATCTCCACCTAAGCTGCTGAGCTTGACTTCACAGAGGACCAGCTAAGCCAGCTCACAGCACTGCCCTTGGTGACGCTTCTGAAAGAGGAAACTGGACGAACCATGGTCTAACGCAGCCTGGCAATTCTTATGTTCTTAGTGCTGTGATGACAGATTGACTGTAGTTTGTGTGTGAACATAATTTCTGAAACGGGTGAAAAAAATGAAAGATGTTACTACTGCTTTTCCTTATAGAATAGCTTGAAAACTGTGACTATTTTAAGATACACCCTGCAGATTAGATAGCTGTATCTAGTACATCGTTATGCTTGAACATTACCAATGAAAAAAAATTAACTAGAAATTTAATAACATAAAACAAGTAGGTAAAATTTAGAATACTGCTATATATGAAATTTCACTCCAGAAATCACACATTTTGAATAATGGTGGATGGTGTACACAGTCTTTTGAAATGACACGATTTCCAGGGGTCAACCAAACCCATTTGTTTCCTTTTAGATAGTTTTGTTTTGGGGCTTTAAAGCATTCGATCCCCCAAGGAAGTGATCAGCAGAGACACCTACAAATAAATCTGACCAAGAAACAGTTCAGCCTCGGAGTTTGAAAAGCACAATCAAATATACATAAAAGCACATCTTTCAAAAGCAGTTACTTGGTCAGCTTTGAGAATATCTTTACTGGTGCACATTGATCAAATCAAGTCACAGCTTTGCAAACTGGAGTCTCACTCTGTCACCCAGGATGGAGTGCAGTGGCATGATGGCGGCTACCGCAGCCTCGACCACTGGCTCAGGTGATCCTTCCACCTCAGCCTTCCAAGCAGTTGGAATTACAGGCACACGCCACCAGGTCCAGCTAATTTTTTAATTTATTTTAGAGACAAGGTTTCGTCATGTTGCCTAGGCTAGTCTTAAATTTTTGGGCTCAGGCAATCCTCTTGCCTCGGCCTCCCAAAGTGCGGAGAATATAGGTGTAAGCCGCTATGCTTAGCCAATTTTTATTCTGTAAACATTAGGGAATAATTAAGGATAGTATTGTAAAGCTAATTAATTATACCACAACAATTTGTTATCATTTTAAAGCAATTCATGAGAGACAAACGTTCAAAACTCTTTGTACTTAAGTAACAAGTTACCAGTGGTAGTGATGGAATGCTTCATTCCAAAACTAGGCCGAATGAGGCTAAGAGATTTAAGAGCATGGGACTGAGATTAGGCATGTCAGTCATTTTGCGTAAGAGTGGGTATGACACAGATAACAAGCCATATCTGTGTCACTGGGAGTAAACTAGAGTTGCATTACGAATTCTTAAATATTATGTCTATTAGAGGAAAAGATTCAGGAAAACCAGGAGATGGGAAATCACTATGTACAAACTGTTTACTCTATAAAAAGTTTATGACAAGAAATGAGATGCAATTTGACCTGATTTATTACACCCTGTGCTTTTTTCCTTTTGTATCATCTATATCCAAATCTTGTTTTGGTTCCTGGGGTCTAAAGTAGATAGGACAATGAAAAATACTAAAAACCTTTCCTCTTTAAAAAGCATCTACTGGGCATATGGTCCTATAGTTTTAGAAAAGATATTCTCTCGTAGTCTCACTGCTTTCAAAGTGTCGTAAGATTATTTTATAAGACACTGAAAAGTCCAAATGCCTTATAAAAATATGTCAATACATGGTAAATTTAAACTAATGTATATTCTTCTATAAAAGCAAGATCATAAAAATCATCATCCTCAAGAAAAAATCTAGAAAAGCTTAGCAAATAAATATATAGCACAAAGTAAAAAATTAACTCACGTTACACCAGGATGAAGATTATATTTCTTTTTTCCAAATCGTGTTTGCTGAGCAAAAAAATCGTAACGTTCAGATTTTTTCCACATGTAGTAGAATGCTACACATTCACCAACTGACCTTGTTCGCACCTATAAGAAACAAGAAAAATAATACACTGGCAACGGATCTTCAGATATTTAGCATTGTTTTTTAAAAGGCTACCATTATCCTTATTTACTATAAAAATATACTCCACTGCTGAAAATGTCTCGAAGTGGCATTCAGGTTAAAATAAATATTACAAACCGTTCCCAAATACTTTTTACTCACAGAGTACCTAGAAAGTCTACCTTCAAATTCCCTCTCAAAAAAATTATCTCACTACTCCCAACAGTAACCCAGTCTCAGGTATTTCCTTTCTAGAAAGTCTGAGGATATGCCATCATGAGCTGATGCTCTGGTTGCCAAGTCACTCTCGTGGCTTACTGTGCTGAACGGTTCCCCTCCCATCACACTCAACGCCTTATGGGGTTAATAAACGATGCTGACAAAATCCCTTTTTGCTACTTAGCCTGGAGAGCTGGTAAGGCTGTTGTATATAAATAAAATCCTGAGAGTTCGAAAGGAAAACAAGTATTTTAGATGCAAGATGACACTACTTATTTGCTAAAATTTCTGCTCTTGAAGTGAGTATCTCATAGCACTGATGGCACCTAAAGGACAACTGCTGATGACAACCTTCCTCATCCAACATGCATTTTTCCTTCTTCCCCTGTTTACACTTTACAACGCTGACCCACGGTACTCCGAGACAATCAGGGCTTTTTCTAAAGAACCATCCTCTCAAGTTCTTTTCTTGCCTCCTACAGAATCTTATTTCTGGACAGAGTCACGCCAAGTCAGTTGTTCTTTACTGAAAGTAAAAAACGAAAAGACATTTTGTTGCATGCAAAGTTAAAAAGCGTTCAGCAAAGTCAGTTCTCATAACAGAACTTAGGATTAAGATCTGAACTTTAATTCTAGGTGTAAAAAAAAATTTTTTTTTTTAATGTTGTCACTGACCCATTCTTCCCCTTCTTAAAAAACTACTATTCTTAGCCGGGCTCGGTGGCTCAGCCTGTAATCCCACGCCTTTGGGAGGCTGAGGTGAGTGGATTGCCTGAGCCCGCAGGTTCGAGACCCGCCTGGGCAGCGAGACCTCATCTCTACAATAAATCAAAAAATCAGCCGGGCGTGACAGCACATGCCTGTAATTCTGGCTACTTGGAAGGCTGAGGCGGAAGGATCGCCGGAGCCCAGCAGGTCGAGGCTGCGGTGGCCTGAAGCAGCCACTGCACTCCAGTCTGGGCAACAGAGTGAGACTCCAACTCAAAACAAAAACAAAAACAAAAACTACTATTCTTATTTCACAATAGCAACTAGTATATTCTATATAGGTGGGTAACGTCTATCCTATAACATGAAAACATCACTACTTCAAATATTTATGAGAAATCGAGGTCATACCTGTAATATTTGTTAGGCTTTTTTGGCTTACAGTTTCAAGTCAACCTAATAAGTTCTTCTTCCATACAAAGAAAAAATCGTATTGGAGGCTACTGATGTTAGTTTAGTTACATCAGCTATCACTCCAGGGGTCATCCAGCACTGTTTGGATATGACTATGTGAATTCAAGTAGGAATGCCAGAAAACTCCTATCCAAAATATCATCCCTTTTAACCATGAAATGATGCATTTAAGAAAAAAAACCAGAAACATACGTGACCAGTTGCATAATGTATTTCTTTTCTTGAGTGTTGACTATATTTGAGGTTATCTGACGATCTGGACACAACGTTAGGGGAATACATTTTTGAAGCCAATTACATTGTCTTCTAAGCTATCCTAAATTCTAAACTCAAAATTTATCTTTTATTAGTTACATCCAATGCAACAAAATAATTGAGAACAAACTAGTTAATACACAACAAAATGAAGAAAATTTGGCTCACTGAAGTTGTAACTATTTTACTTATTAGACATAAACTAGAAGATGTTAAATACATGTTGGGAAGAAACCAACAGGACACTATCCAATCAAATCCACAAATACCAAAGAGAGAGAGGGAGTAAAAGACTATATGGAGCCCCGAACATAAGCCCAGATACTTCAACACCATCCTGGAAAAGCCTCCACACAACACTCGGATGCTATCTTTAAAAGGAAACATGTGAAGTCAAGATCCTTGTCTTTTGTATTTACTAAAAATAATATGATAATCATAAACCCAGGAATTAATTTCCTACATTCAAGCTGAGATTTTAATTCTACCTGTCCTAATCTGTTGTTAGTGTTTTTATTCTATATAATTATGTGGTTACTCTTAAAAATCCTACCTGATTGCTGCTGTAAGAATTAAACCCCCAAACATATCTGTAAGTAATTATAAAGTTATTTGGAATATAAACTGTATGACTGACATTATCAATATGGAATGATAAGTGATCATGTTAAATAAAAATGTAAAATTATGATAATTGTAATACTGTATAATAAAGATGACCTACTGAGATAGATGCTTCTGGAAAATTACGTTAAATCTTGATTAAAACCAAATACAATCTTAAGTATCTGATTTTAGACCACTCAGGACTTAAGTAAAGGTAATACATATTTTAATCATACATAATGCCATGTTTAAAGGTGCTTTAAAGTTAGAAAATTATTTTAAGGACCCTCCTTAAAACATCTTATCAGAGATGGTGGAAAACAGCTATAAATAATGGTACTGCACATACACATCCCACCTGGAAGTTAATTAACATATTTGTAAATAAGTACAATACTTAAAACACTTCCAATATAAGGCACCAAAAACAGTTACCTGGCAAATACGTTAGGCAGTCTAGGCATGCTTATTATAATTTGCTAAAAACCATACGATCACAAAACCTTTTGCACTAGAAAATACAGCAAATTAATATCCATGACCATTTAAGTTGTTTAACTAAGTTTCTTTCTGTAAAAAAGAGAACATACATCATTACTTACTTTATTAGCCTGAATCAAATGAAAATCCTTTCCATAGGCCTTCAGCCCTTGTTCAAAATTTCTACACTCTTCCTCTGTCCAAACAGATAATTCCTCTGACAAAATGAGGGAACAAACTGTTAAGCAATATTCCCCCAAATGTTGCGTATAAAAACCAAACTGCAAATAAAAATGTAACTTTCTGGTAAAAATGAGGAAGCATTTTACTCCTGAGCTCCATTACTAACTGTTGCAAGAGATAAAGTGATGAAAGTCCTGACTTTGTAAGATTTTGAATAATCTGATCCCTACCTCTCTGGCCTCAACTTGGGCCACTTTCTTCCTAATTCCTCATGATCCAATTATATCTGCTACCTTTCAGTTCTTAAATTTGCTATGTTCTTTCTTACTCCAGACTTCGTGTCCTGGGCATCTCCTTTGCTTGGCAATATTTCCTGCCTCCTAGCTCGCCTCCTTTCACTGAGATAATTCTCTTATACCTCAACATAAACATCACTTCGTTTTGGAAGTCTCCCCGGGAAGCTCCACCCTTTACCGTAACTAGGTTAAGTCCTACTGCAGTAGGCTTAAATAGCATCCTCTAATTCTTCCCCTTGGAAGAATCTGTCGCAACTAGTTTTCAGTCTCTCTACCGAGGCTCTACACACCTTGAGAGAAGGGACTTTGTTTATGGTTATTTCCTCAGAACTTAGAAGGTCCTCAAATTTTTGTCGAATGAATAAATATATCTGATTTATTACTTAATTATATATAAGCAGTACTCTTGGTGAAGGGGGCGGAAATCAGTTTAGAGTAAAAAACAAAAACCTGGGCCGGGCTCGGTGGCTCAGCCTGTAATCCCGCGCCTTTGGAGGCTGAGGTGAGTGGATTGCCTGAGTCCGTGGGTTCGAGACCCGCCTGGGAAGCAAGACCTTATCTCTACAATAAATCAAAAAATCAGCCTGGCGTGGTAGTGCATGCCTGTAATTCCGGCTACTTGGAAGGCTGAGGCGGAAGGATCGCCGGAGCCCAGCAGGTCGAGGCTGCAGTGGTCGGGAGCGGCCACTGCACTCCTGTCTGGGCAACAGAATGAGACTCCAACTCAAAAAAAAAAAAAAAAAAAGGAAAAACCTGGATTTTAGTTATGGCTTCACTGTTGAATTTTGTTTGCCTCAGTAAAGTTACTTTAGAGACCTCGGTCTCATCAGTTTTAAAGTAAAGGTAGTATCTGCCAGAGTACTTAATTCACAGGGCAATTATCAAGATCAAATAAAATATTTATTCATAAGTGTGTCTTGAAAGTATGAGGCAGTAGGTATTTTTACTTAAATGGTCTCACTTTTCCATAAAGAAGGAAGAGACAGCCTTAACCCCATTCCCCATAATGCCCTATACAATACTTGGTATTCTGTAAATATTCACCAAACTCAGGAAGTTCAGCATTACTAAGCTTAAGATATATCTAGGTAACCTGAAGAGCTTAATTTTAAAATGTTTGCCAAATAATGAAATAAGAAATATTCATGCTTACCTCTAGCTGCTTTTACATTAAATCTTAATCTTCTCAATGCTTCTTCTGTATCAAAATTGCACTTAACCAATTCATACAAAGCCTAGAAAAAGAAAAAGTTTCATCCAGTATTTGACTTGGACTATGAACAGTTCAATGCTACAATTTCTTAAGAGAGTGAAAGTCTTTCAAAATCTGAGTGTTTGTTTTTATCCTTTCTGGAGGGTAATTTTAGTGAGTGCAATATATAAAACACCAAGAAACAACAAACATAAATTCAATCCTGATAATTAACTACCTTTAAATATGTACAAAGGACGTATGTAAATACTCTGACGTGGTAGCAATAGTACCCCAAGAATTTAAAATCATAAGAAATTATTTTGTGTAAACCACAATCCCTTCTTTGTGGTTTTTGGAGATTCTTATTAAAATTATTTTAAACAAGTCAGAAAAGAAAAACAATGATTAAAAAGGTAAAAAACATAATGCTGTTTATTAGGTTCATGTTAGGCACTTGTCATTATCCCAAATACATATCCACAGATTCTCAAGGGATAGCTGAAGGAATTTTTAAAAGTCTAATAAAAAATATGAACAGACAAAATGAAACATCAAGGTTTTTGTTTTATTTGAGCTGAAGCTGTACCAATGAAATGAGTATAGTAACAACAGATATCTTATACCAATTATAACCTCATATTCTGTCAACAATGCTACAGAAATTTTGGTGACTGAATAACAGCACAACAGCATTTACTTATAAATGTGTTCACTTAATTTATTTTGGGAAAATTCCAGCAGCTGTTTCTTATTCACATACCTGTTCATTGTCTTTTATGTGAGATCCCTCAGGAATTGCTTCTACTCCTTTCTCATCACCTGTTCTTCTAGATGCATCCTTAAGAAATACAATCACTTTATCTTCTGGTAAGTACTCAGGGTCCCATAGGAGCTGATCATCATTTTCATATACTAAATTAGCAAAACATAAAGTTTAAAAAAATTGCCAAACACTGAGAGAGAGTGTGCTAAAACGTATCACTCAACAAATAACCCACACTCAGAGCCAAATGTTGAAAGCTAAGAGGCAAACTGAGGTTCCACTACTTGCTCGCCTCTTTCCTGGGTAGTCCTTACAGCCTATGTGAATTCAGCAATCTCAAGGAGAGGAGGCGTCACCTGATGCCCTGTGCAGGTGTAGGCCTACTCAATCCTGAGTTTACCAAGTTTCAAGCTTTCTTGGCTTGAATACCGCCTCCACTGCTTATTACCTGTATGACCTTGAGGAAATCCCTTTTCTGCTGTGTCATCTGTGAAATGAGAACAATAACTCTACCACAAAGAGTTGTGAGATTTAAAGCCCTTGATAACAGTTCTGGCCTATATTAAGGCTCAATGGATGTTAGCTGCAATTATTATTTTTTGAAAATGTGTCTAGAATGCTTTAAATGATTATAGTGTGTATAAATCGTTTTCATAAAAACTAAAGTCATGGCTTTAAAAAAAAAAGCATTTACATCTCATCATAATTTCCATTAGAAAAAGATTAAAGTCCAAATCTTACCAGAATTTAAAAAGTGAAGGAAAGGAAGACAAGACCACGAAAACAGATATCACAAGACAGGCAAAACACTGAGAAAGTGGCATCACAACAGCTCAAGGAACAAAGTGCTTCCAAGAATGGCTTCAAAGAATGGTTCAATACTGCTGAGTGACCGGGATGGAAACTGAGAAAGGTACTCTAGATTTTAAAAACAAGAGGTGAATGCTCTAGGAATCACTTCTGTGCAGAGATGAAAGCAAAGCTGGCTAGGGGTGGTGGATCGAGCCTATAATCCCAGCACTTCGGGAGGCTGAGAAGACTGCCTGAGTCTAGGGGTTCAAGACCAGCCTGGGCAACTTGGTGAGACCTCGTCTCTATGATAAATCAAAAAAAAGTAGCCAGGCGTGGTGGCACGCACCTGTAGTTCCAGCTACTTGGAAGGCTGAGGCCGAATGATCGCCTGAGCCCAGCAGGTCGAGGCTGCAGTGGCTGTGAGGGTGCCACTGCACTCCAGCCTGTGTGATGGAGTGAGACTCCAACTCAACAAGAGGAAAGAAAGCAGAAGGTGAACAGGAAAGAGTTGAAGAGTAAATGGAAAGCAAAGAAATAAAGCAGGAAACTCTTGAGAAGTTTGGTTATGAGGGTGGAGATGGTACAGCAAGTAGTAAGTTTTTATGTTATTTTTTGTTTCTTTTAAAGACAGGAGACATTTAAATGCCAACAGGAAAGAGCCCACTTGAGAAAGACTTTAACAGTCAAAGAGTAACTGACGATATCAGTTTTTTATGTTAAGAAATTAACAACTAATTACACATCTCTCATGTACCAGGCAATGTATTAAATGATGTCACATAAATTACCTTGTCCCTCACCCACACACTTTAAAACTTGCTTCTACCTTTCCATTTCCCACAAATACTTCTTTTATTTATTTATTTATTTGTTTGTTTGTTTGTTTTTGACATCCAGGCTGGAGTGCAGTGACATGATCATGGTTCACTGCACCTCAACCTCTTGGGCTCAAGTGATCCTCCTGCCTCAGCCTCCCAGGGTAGCTAAGACAACAGGCATGCAACAACCACACCTGGCTAATTTTTAAAGTTTTCTGAAGAGATGAGGTCTTGTTATGTTGCCTAGATGGTCTTGAACTTCTGGGCTCAAATACCACAGTTTTCCAGGTACTGTGATTATAGGCATGAACCACCACTGTGGCTGGCCCAGATACCTTTCTTTAAAATACAGCTCAGAGGACAATATCTAGACATTTTCCCTTAAAAAATATCATTCCTTTTCTAGTGAACTCCTGCTGGTACAATCCTAGTTAAGCTCTAAATTATAAACACTAACATGATAAAGTAAATCTGAGTATACTGCTATAGATTCTTTTCTCTGCTCAGTCTCTGTCCTCCAAAGGGAACAAACCACACAAAAGGCCACCCAAGGAAACCCTGCTTCAAGACAGGAAGGAGAGTTGGGCTCGGTGGCTCAGCCTGTAATCCCGCGCCTTTGGGAGGCTGAGGTGAGTGGATTGCCTGAGGCCGCGGGTTCGAGACCCGCCTGGGCAGGCGAGACCTCATCTCTACAATAAAATAAAAAAATTAGCCAGGCGTGGTAGCGTGCGCCTGTAATTCCGGCTACTTGGAAGGCTGAGGCGGAAGGATCACCGGAGCCCAGCAAGTTGAGGCTGCGGTGGCCGGGAGCGGCCATTGCACTCCAGTCTGGGCGACAGAGTGAGACTACAACTCAAAAAAAAAAAAAAAAAGAGAGGAAGGAAGGTGGGTGGACTCAAGTTCCAAGTGTCCTTCCAGTGAGACCCTCCACGTGGGCCTATGGAACAGTACAAACTACCTGAGAGGTATTTCTATAGTTGCTACCAATATGCTGGAAGTCCTGGGTAGCCACGGGGTACAGAGATGTCCTTACTTAAGCCGAGTAGACAACCATGACCGGATGGTACCAAATGACAAGTCAGACTCCCTGGAACTGTGGCTGGTTAGACAGGTCATTAGCCCTCATTATTTTATTAACCTCAGAATAATACAACAGTTCATTTTATGCAATTATAATATAACCTCAATAATGATTCTAAGGTAAGAACAATTAGCGTTTCCACAAAGAATAAGCCACTCTGCCTTCACTGGTTCCAGACAGATACCAATGATTTTCCAGTTAAGCTTATACTCTAGCTTCTAGCTGCAAGCTTGGCAAAAGTTGCTTTTTCTTTTTTTAAGGGTCTCACTACATTGCCCAGGCTGGAGTGCAGGCATGATCAGTAATGCCCTGGAGCCCCTGGGCTCAAGTGATCCTCCTGCCTCAGTCATCCCAGTAGCTGGCACTACAGGCACACACTACTGTGCCCAGTGGCAACAGCTGTTTTTAATTAAATGTCTATTATACTGAGAGCATCAGAAATTCAGAAGAACTCCATTATTACAATAAACCATATTAAAAAACAAAAGAGAAATAACATCTACATACACAATACAAAGGAAAAGGACCAAAAATGGAAATAGAAAAAATTACTTATTCGAATTAAGTGACAAGAACATGCCGGGTTCTGAAAGATTGCAATCACTGAAATGCAATGAAATCTTCTGAAACTACTTCATTCTAAATCAATTCCAACACTAAATATCAGAACTTTAAAAAAGCAATCACAAATACATCCACCTCAATATCACTGGTAGGTATAACTTGTACGTAATTTATAAAAAAGTAAAGGCAACCAGAAAGCAGTTCACGCATATGTTAACACTGGCTGGCTGATGCGCCTCTGGAGTGTCTTGTTAAAGCATAAATCTGGATCAGCAGGCAGAGAGAGAACCTAGAACCTACATTTCTCACTAACTCACAGGATAACATGACAGTGCTAGTCTACGGACCAAACTGAGTAGAAAAACACTGACAGATCTCATTCTAGCTCTCTTATGATGCAGATTACAACTTTAAAAATCAAAAGCAATAAAAAGTTATGCCTGTCAAATAAACAAAATGAGCTATCAAAATACTTTGATAAAGTCCACTGTAGTTGAGGGGAAGGAGACAGCGTTTAAGAAGTGGGAGAAAGTTATTAGGTATTCTGACTAGAGAAAAAAAAAAACGATGTAGAAAGCTGAGAGACCACCACCACAAAACAATAAAGAAAATTCTGCAAGTTGAGAAATCGTCAATGAAAAAAATGTCTGGTTTTATTTTTCAGCTGGAGCCTTACTCCGCTGCCCAGGCTGGAGTGCAGTGGCACCTCATAGCCAGCCCAGCGTCGTCGATCCGCTGGGCTCTGACGATCCTTCCACCTCAGCCTTCCAAGTAGTCAAAACCATAGGTGCATGCTACCACACCCAGCTAAGTTTTTGATTTATTGTAGAGATGACATCTCACCAAGTTGCCTGGGCTGATCTCAAACCCCTGGATTCAGGCAATCCTCTCACCCTGGCCTCCCAAAGGGTTGGGATTACAGGCTTGAGTCACTGCGCCAGGCCGAATAAACGTCTATTAACTGCCAGTTTCACTTTTTAAAAAAAGTGTTATTCCATTTGTCGAAGTAAAAATTCTATCAGCACTAAGATATAATAATGGGGTTTGAAACAGATATCATTATATTCCTAAAAGGTCACTGTGATTAATGACATGGCCTTTTAAGTTGAGTTTTTTCCTATTCACGTATTAAACAAACTGCCTGTTTCAACAATACTATTACCAACTAAGGGTACTACATTTGTTCATTTTTTTCAGTAAGTTTCTTAACAACTAAAAATAATTTGTCAAATGTTCATTAGAAACAATTTGCATGGACCTTAACTATTGACTGCTTAATGAGTCCTACCCATCTAGAATTTTTGTCATGTGAGTATGAAAACGTGCCTGGGAATGCGGTTACTTGCTTCTCCTTTCCCTTGACCTTTTTTCTCCCCTAGCTAGCCCATCTAATTATTAGTTTATCTAATCCAAGGTTCTCAATCTTGGCATTACTGCCATCTTTGGCCAGATAATTCTGAGTGGTGGGGGCTGTCCTATGCACTGTAGGTTTATACCATTCTGTACCTGGTTTTATCACAATACCACAGTGCTCACTCTGTTTAGTAAATGGGAAAAACATTAACATACAAATGTAACTCCGAAGTAGAATGTTTTGCATCTGCCCAGCACTGCTGTGGAAATTAAACCCTTTTTCTCACATGGTCTGAGTGGGAATAACAGTACCTCTGCAGATCGAGAAATAGGTAAATGAGCCAGGGCAAGCCAGAGTACTATTCGTCTCTGGTCACAGTGACGACTGCTGGCTGAATCAACAGGAGTTTTCTCTAGGACTTTTGCTAGAGCTCTGCAGGATGAGGAAATTCTCATTTTTGCTGGTTCTCTAGCCAAAAGGACAGTGTAACGTGTAAGCCAAGAGCTCCTAGTGGCCATCTTAGCTTGTGTGACAATAAAGGAGAGAAGGGAGGAACACTTGATATCCTCTTAAAAATATGTGAAGCCAGACCGCACAGATTTCCAGTAAGCAATCCAGTATTCTACTTAAACTAACTGAATTAAGTTTTGTCATCTGCAGGCAGAAGAGCATCAACTGATGCTTCTGAAAATCTCATTAATAATAGCTAAATATAATGGATGGCATCAATCACCTATTGAATATTAATGTCACTTACTGAGAACTTACTATGTGCCAGGCACTATGCTAAATGTTATACATACAAATATCTTCTATACATGTAATCTTAACAACAGCTCTGAAAATAAATGCTAGTATTGTTATTTGACATACAGAAAGAAAAAGTAATGTACCCGAGGGTCGAATGCCTGGGTAACGATTCAAGATAAATGATTCCGTATCAGTTCAGTTACCACCATTCTGCTCCCACTCACCTATTAACTCAGGCACCAAATGTTTACTAAGTGTCGATGTGACAAGGAGCAAACTAGTTAATATTAAGGATACAAAAATCAGTAAACATATGTAAGTGGTTAAAATACACCGTGTTAAGCATAAATGACAATTTGCAAATTGGAGAAAATGTTAATAAGCAAGTAGCTAAGAGCACTGTGTAACCAAAATAGATACAGGTTCAAAAGAGCATGCCTGGAATGTTACTGCAACTAACAAATATTGTTTATTTAGTTGTCTGAATTAGAAGTGATAACCGAAGAGGAATATATAATCTGCATGAAGCCTAGCAAAAAAGCAATCGGATGATAGAGAGAAAAAAACTGTCAATATACGTCCAGGATACTCAGTTAAGACAGTTTTCTAATATCAATGAAAATGAGAATGTTGATATATCTGTTAAGTAAGCTCTGCAATAACAGTATCTGGATATCTTAGTTTAGTGGCATTTTCATTAAAAAGTCTGTGCTTATCAAACTGATGGAAAATATCCTGTGGAATTTTTTCCATAAGAATGCACTAGTCAGGCACGGTGGCTTACACCTGTATTCCAGCTCCTTGGAAGGCTGAGGCAGAAGGATTGTTAAGGCTGCAGTGGCCATAAGCATGCCACTGCACTTTAGCCTGGGCGACAGAGTGAGACTCTGACTCAAAAAAGAAAAAAAGAATGCGCTTATCAGCACTATCCTTTGACAAGTTTTATTTCCAACAGTATGGTTTACACAAAAGTTTCACAAGCTTGGCATATGCACACATGGTATCCTAAGTGGAGAAAAATTCTGTGTATCTTGACCAAAGTCTGAACTTCCAGGACTGAAGGTCATGTATCACAACTATTTCCCCCAAAGCAATGTTACCCTGCTAAGTCTAGTCGGATCCTCTTTACATAATCTATCAAGCTTAATTTCTCAAAATGAGAAAGCTGCACTTTTTCCTGAAAAAAGGTCCGTATGTATAATTGTTTTTTAAAATCATGTTAAAATTGAAAACATCAAGCCAGAATTTAAAACATCAAAAAAATCCAAGATTTTGATCATTACTCATTGTTGATATTTGACAATACAAACATTAAAATAAAAAAATAAAATATTAAGAGAAAATTAAAACTATCATTAGCTGTAATATAAAAACTTCAAAGATGTTTCCTATCCTTCTACTAAATATAATATTTTCAAAGACAGGCTTACTATCTTTCATAGTCAACACTTAAAAGAAATTTAATGAAAAGACGCAAATGTCTTTCATTTCTTCATTTATTTTCAGAAAGAAAGCAGTCGATGGTGAACATGTACTAACCATTATGTAACATATAAGCATGCAATTTAAATTTCAATTACAAAAATAAATATAAAAGCCAGAGAATCACTTATTCTTGCACACAATTACAATGTGTTCCCAGAACATATGCACAGAATTTCAATATATAAAAAGGTCACTCTATATTGATATCTTCAATGTTCTCATATATTACAGGAATTACCTTGAAAAGTAAATGCAAACTGTTAAACACTTAAATTACATATTAAAACATTTTGCTGGCCAGGCATGGTGGTGCACGCATATAATCCCAGGACTTTGTGAGGCAGAGGAAAGAGGACTGCCTGAGTCCATGGGTTCAAGGAGCCTGGGCAACATGGCGAGACCTCGTCTCTACAATAAATCAAAAAATTAGCCAGGTGTGGTAGCACATGCCTGTGGTTCCAGCTACTTGGAAGTCTGAGGCAGAAGGATCGCCTGAGACCAGCAGGTCTCAAGGCTGCAGTGGTTGTGAGTGTGCCACTGCACTCCAGCCTGGACGACAGTAAGACTCCAACTCAAAAAACAAAAAAAACACAACAACCAAAAAACCCATTTTGCTGTCACAAAAATGTACTGGCCTGTGATGTGGTTCCCTTGACTACTCTGATATGCTGTGCCTGGAGAGCAGGTGCATACTTAGAATACAAAGTAAGTTTTTGTAGAGAATACTAAACCACACATAAGCAACAGAAGACTTCTATAACTCCAAAGAGTTCTGCATATGTAAAGTTAAAATGTAGAGAAGAAAGCTAAAATAAAAGAAATGAAGAAAGATTCCTAGCTTTGAGTGATGTCACATTGCACATGAACTCATTAAAAAACACACAGGCACATCATTCTAATCTGAGACTCTAAAAAAACTTCAACTATTTTATGTTATTGGAAGTATGACTTACCTTAGAGACTTTTAATAAAGCAATGGAAAAAAACATGTAAAATTTAAGTATTCAAGTTGTTTGCCCGAATTATTTTAAAAACACAAATATAAAAGTACTTCAATTTAATAATACTAAAAGCCTCAGAAGCAAATAAGCTTTTTTTAAAATATCAGTTGTTTACTTTCAAGTTTGTTTTTAAAGCTTTTACTGGTATAAAATAATCTGCTTTTAAAAACTAAATTATAAAGCCTAGAAAAAAGGGTAAACCTCAGAGTATTTAAAATATGGAGGGGAAAGATACAGTTGGACATTTTAAGTCACCTAAAAAAAAAAAAAAAAAGCAAGCATGTTTTCATTTTGTTGGCAAGACTTCTAAGAACAAAACCTGAAAAATACTAAACATATTTCTTCTTACAGAAATAGTGCAAAGTTTTCTTTCATAAACCAATGGAATCCCCAAGTAGGCTGTCATGTTATCACATTTTATGTAAAATTAAAAAGTTTATCAATTCGAAAGCATAAATTCAGTTATGTAACTTTACTAATAACCCACCTTTTTCGTTTTCTTTGTATCTACAAATGCCAACTGGAATCTCTGCTTGAAACATAGAGCCCACCATAATCTCCTATTTAAAAAAATAACAAAAAACATCAGTAAGATCTAGGAGAACAGATGTTATATCCTTTTTCTAGCCTTACAATCTTCTCAGCAAATTGGTTCTGTTTTTGTTTTTGTTTTTGTCATGAAATACAGATACAACCAATTAACTAGCTCAGAACCAATTAACTAGCTCAGGAGTATTGAGAGAATGCATGAGTTAGTAACAGACAAGAGCCCGGATATGATTAGATAAAATATCAGTAATAATGGGGTGAAATGCAGTGTAGACAATACTACTTCAAAGCACAGAGAAAGAGACATAAAAGTGAATTTTGATAATTCAACTAATAAGATAACTGCAAAACAACGAAAAACCAGAAAGGCAAATTCAGATATTTTAGGAGCATCTACCCTGAGACAGTGGTCTTAAAATATGGTCCCCTGTATCAGCAGCATTAGTGTCACCTGGGAAGCTGTTAAAAATGCAAACGCTCAGGTCCCACTCCAGCCCGAATGAATCAGAACCTCTAGGGACAGGACTCAGTGATTAGCATTTTAACAAACTCTCTAGGTGATTCTGTCATACACTCAAATCTGAGAAGCAGAGTTTTGAGGTAAGAGAAATAACAAAACAGGTTTGTATAAAGGTCGTGTGAGCCACACGGATGAAACTCCAGTTAATGCCTGACTTACTAAACAACACATCTTGAAAAGTAACCTCCCCTGCCTCAGACATAATTAAATCTTAGTGTAGGAAGTCTGATAATCACATCTGCAGAGTCAGATCGCAGATTAGGGGAAACTGTTCGGAAAGGCAACTGGAGGCTGGGCATGGTGACTCACACCCATCATCCCAGCACTGTGGGATCCGAGGAGGGAGGATTGCTTGCGGCCGGGAGTTCAAAACCAACCCAGGCAACACAATGAAGCCTCTTCTCTACAAAAAACACCAAAATAGCTGAGTGTGGTGACGCATGCCTCAGTTCCAGTTACTTGGAAGGTTGAGACGGAAAGATTGCCCGAGTCAAAAGGCCAAGGCTGTGGTGAGCTGTGATCGTGCCACACCACTCCAGCCTGGATGACAGAGTAAGATTCTGACTCTGAAAGAAAAAAAAAAGAAAGGCGATTAGAAATCACCGCTGATGAGAGTTCACAATGCTCGGGAACCAACATCACATGGGCCATCTTTTGTCTGGTGGCTAAACATTAAGAACAAATTCACAAGAATTTCCAAAATGAAGACTTGGTCACGAAAGGTACAAAATAATGGTCCAGGAGGTTTAGATGACTCTTAGAATTTGAAAAGCTCCCCTCTCCTGCTGCTTTTGTCCCTGACATTAGAATCTCATTTTATCCAGTATAATTCCAAAGACAAGCTCTATGTAATAAAGTTATTGCTATCCCTGTATAGAAAAGTCAGTCTTTATCATGACCAGTTTTCTAAAAAGAATATAGTACTCAACACATTTTCTCCACTCACACACAGGAATTCTCTTCACAACTACTATCACACCTTGTGCCTCTTCCATCTTTACTCACCAAGTCTACCAACCCTGGTTGGGGTGCTTCTAAAAGTACCAAAGCCTGATCCTGCTCAGGCCAATTAAGTCAGAATCTATGGACAAAGGCTCTGGTAGTAAGTACTTAAGAGTTCCCCAAGTGAAGTCTACCATGAAGCCAGAGCTGAGAACGTCTGGAAGAGTATAGAGACAGGCACTTCCCTTTTCCTATGGAGTTCAGAACACTTCTTTTCACCTGCTACTTTGTTCTGTAGCATAAAAAAAGGGAAGGGAAATAGCATTTACGATCATTATGTACCAGGTATCATATATGTAGTTTTCATTTAACCTTCACCAAGACCCATAAGGCTGTCATTGTTATTTCCAAATCATATGCAAGATGAAGCTAAAACAAAATTAATTTTCTCAGGAACACACAATTAGTAGTACATCCTAGAGTTATAGCAACTTAGACTTGACTTCAAAGCTGTTTCCACAACCCTAGTTTCTCTTTTTTATTTTGAGTTGGGGTTTCACTGCCACCCAGGCTGGAGGACAGTGGGACAATCACAGCTCACCCCAGTCTTGACTCCTTCTGTCCAGCCTCCCAAGAAGCTGAGACTACAGGTATGCAACTACCACATCTGGCTGTTTTTTTATTTTTGTAGAGACAAGGTGTCCTTATGATGTATAGGCTGGTCTCGAACTCCTGGCCTCAAGCAATTCTCTCATCTTGTCCTCCAAAGTTACAGGTGTGAGCCACCACAGCCAGTTTCCCTGACCCTAGTTTCTATAATAAACCAATTTCATCATGTAAAAGCCTTAAAAGAATGAATCTCTAAAATCTCAAAAATTATTTACTACAACAAAATCATACTGAAAAAATACAATCAGAATTTACTGTGGCGTACACTTCATTAAATAATTTTTTTTCTGAGGAAGGTTGGGCTATTCCCTCCAGCAATTAAAGTTTCCCCTCTCCCATGTTCTCCCTCATCATCTGAGCTTTTAGTTCCTTCATTAAGAAAATAAAAATACTGACTGCTTCATCAAATACTCTACTGGAGACTCCAGACACAAAAACAATTACTACATGTGGAATAAAGACATATATAAGCTTGCATGTTGGTGGAAATTAGCAATTAAGAGGATTCCCACGCACTCTAACTTTTTGCATCTTAATTTCTACACGGTGTAGGAATCAGATGAAAACTGGATTGAAAAGCACTTGCCTGAATAGGTCACACAAACAGTAAATAACTTTCGTGAGCCTCGTTTTCTGTCTTCAGTCCTACTGCTCACACTAATTCACAAACACTGCAGACTAGGCTAATCGTCCCTTGTCATTCTAACTCACAATGATGTCTCTCCTAACTCCTACAGCTTTTTGTGGATATCATTCAATTTAACATTTACTTATGTTATACTTGGATAACTTCTTTCAAGGACTGTCCCTCCAACTTGCAACAAAAACATAAGCTTCTTGGGAAAAGGGACTCCTGCCTCTTACTAGTTACGTATACAACAGGCATTCGATCACTACCAAATGTGGAAAATGATGCCTCTCCAACTCTTTGGCTCTAGTCACTAATTATTAATAATGACCTAGACACTCTACTGTTGCTAGAGAACAGAATGCATGTCTATGAGAAATATTCCTTTGGAAGCCCACAAAGAGATCAACTCTGGCTGAAGTCTACATCCTTAACCTGCCCACACAAAGTTCATCTGAGTATTTCACCTTTCCTAAATGAAACTCTAAATATGAGATGCTCCCTTATTTTAGTTAGCAAGAGGGTCAGTTCTTTTTTAAGTTTGTGCCAGGCATCCTAAACCAGACAACTTTCAACCAACAGCAACAACAAAAGTCAGTCATGAAGAAAGTTCAAAGTATTAACCAACTAAGTAATTAAATAATCTTGACTTTACAAGTACAAAACAACCTACTCAATTTGATATCTGTACTATTCTGCTTCCAACATATGACCGCTCAGGCACTAAATTTAAGTAGGAAGAAGAACAGCAAAAAAACTTAATGGGATTTTGTTTTAAGAGGACAGAGCAGAGGATCCACCTCTAAACAAGAGTAACATCGTTTCTCCTTTATAAATAATTTGTTTTAACCAATTAACAAACATTTTTTCTTTTTAAGAGATGGGGTCTCAAAAGAGATGGGCTAGCCTCAAACTCCTGGACTCATTAAGTGATCTTCCTGCCTCAGACTCCCAAGTATCTGGTAAGACAGGGGTGCACCAATGCACCTGGCTAATTCCAATAACATTTTCATTTCCTAAGAGGTCAATTCCTTTCCAACAACTTAAAACTTAAACTAAAATTCTTTAATTTAACTGTATGATTAATTATCTAATGCTATATAACTTTATAATTAAAAGCTAATGTTAATATAGTATCTTTAGATTCATTTTAGAAATTAACTTATTTCATTCTATATAGTTCTAGGAAAGCCAAATCTGTATCTTTACACAATATACTTATTAGTTATATACATCAACATTAAATTCAATCATTCTGAAAGTTCTCCCTTTATAAAGTAATATACAACAGAAAACCTGCAAACTAAACTATTAAACAAAATCTACTGAATAAATACCAAACCCTCCACAATTACTTTCCACTTAAAAAATGCATATAAAATTTTTACATGGTAACAAAAGTCTATTTCACCACTAGTTGGGACTAGATCAGAAATTTGGTTTCTAATCTTGGAATACTATCTCCACAAAATCCAATTCTTTTCATACCACCACCTTATTTTATAAAAAGACAAATGTATCTCTCAGATGTATTCAGGGGAATGTGAACATTTACCAGACACTTAAATGTCACAAAAGAACTTTTATCAACTTTATCAATATATATAATTAGCAAAAGCATAATTACACTTAGCCTTTTTTGTATTAATTTATGTAAGTTTTGGGAAAATATCATTCTAACTACCTTTTTCCAGTCTTCTGATGGAATATAATCTTCATCTTCTTCAGATTCTTCTTCTATTTCACTGTCTAGAATAAATAAGACATCAATACTATAAAACGATTGCTTATCCTGCCCACATCTATATATGCGTATATTATTTTTATATCCATTATCATGTATTTGGATACCCAAAGGTATCTCTCATGAGTCATGCCAAGACACTTCTAATGAAATAATCAGTATCTTCACACTAAAAACCAAAAAAACATCAAAAAGCCATAAACCTTCTAGGCTACTGTATTCTCATAAAAAGGTTTCTTTGAAAAAACATACCTGATTTAGAGTTAAGATAATCTGCTTCTAACCCTCATCCTGCCTACAACAGCCTGGTGACAGAATACAATGTATGATCACAATTTTTTTACTTATAAAATGAGGATTTAGACAAAACAGTGATTTCTGCCCAATGCTCCTTGGAACAGTGGGACTTCGACAGCTCTACCGTAGGAGGAGCATGTGGAGGAAAGGTGTGTGTGAAGAATCCCACTCTCCCCAACCTCCATTTTATTCAAAGGAAAGAAGATGTCTGTTGACACCTGGAAACAAGAATGTATTTACATAGAGGGGTAGGACATCTGAAACTATCAGACTGCTAGCATTTTGCAAATCCATAATGGCATATGACATTCAAAAGGACATCACATGTCGAAATAGTTCTTCTGGAGGCTGAGGTGGCAGAATGGCTTGAGGCCAGGAGTTCCAGACCAGCCTGGGCAACACAGTGAGATCCCCATCTCTACAAAAAATAATTTTTAAAAAACTAGCTGGGTGTGGTGGGGCATGCCAGGAGTCTTAGCTACTTGGTAGGCTGAGATGGGAGGACTGCTTAAGCCCAAAAGGTGGAGGCTGCAGTAAGCGACAATCATACCACTGCCCCCCAGCCTGAACAACAGAATAAGACCCTGTCTCAAAACAAAAAAAAAAAAAAGGAAATTAATTCTTCCTATGAAAAAGCTAAGATAGGTGGTACATGTACAACTGAAATACCAAATTATAAGTAGAAAATAAATATAACTTCAAGAGGCAAAGCAGTCACTTAGCATCCCACTTTTAAGCAAACTTTGACAATGGACCTCCTCTTTGTTTAACTAATGAAATGTCACCCCAGCCTGAGCAACAAAGGGAGACCTCATTTCTACAAAAAAACAAAATCAAAAGCATTGCCAGGTGTGGTGGTGCGTGCTTATAGTTTCAGCTACTTTGCAGGCTGAGGTAGAAGGACTGCCTGAGCCCAGGAGGTCGAGGCTGTGGTGAGCCATGATTGAGCCACGATTGTGCATTCTAGGCAGGGTGACAGAGTGAGAGCCACCCTGACTCAAAAGAGAAGAAAAAAAAAGAAACGCTACATTTTCTCCAATCTTAAAGTTACCACATTTATTTCAGTAACTAATCTCTCTTTATATGAATACACTTTTCACTTGAACCAGATCATTGATTAAAACTCACATTATTTGGGGAAATATACAAAATTATTAGCAGTACTATACCCAATTCTAAACTAATGTGCAACAAATCATTAATACAAAGCAGTAGCCATGTCTAATCTGTTATTACCTTACTCATATTTCATGAGTGGCTATTTTTCTTCATGTGTTTTTCTTCCTGTTAAAGTATAGGAATTCAGGTTGGGCATGGTGGCTCACACCTGTAATCCCAAACTTTGGGAGGATTGCTTGAGTCTAGGAGTTCGAGATCAGCCTAGGCAATATAGCAAAACCTTGTCTCTACAAACAAACAAACAAAAAAATTAGCCAGGGACAGTGCCAGTTACTCAGGAGGCTAAAGCAGAAGGAGAGCCTTGAGCCCAAGATATCTAGGCTACAGAGAGCCATGACTGTGCCACTACACTCCAATGTGGGCAACAAAGTGAAACCGTGACTCAAAAAAATAGAATTAAATTAAAATAAAAGGCTGGTCGTGGTGGCTCAAGCCTGAAATCCCAGCACTTTGGGAGGCAGAGGTGAGAGGATTGCCTGAGCCTAGGGGTTTGAGACCAGCATAGGCAACTTGGTGAGACCTCATCTCTACATTAAAAAAAAAAAAAAAAAACTAGCCAGGCATGGTGGCATGTGCCCTGTGGTACCAGCTACTTGGAAGGCTGAGGTGGAAGGCTTGCCTGAGCCCAGCAGGTCGAGGCTGTGGGGGCCGTGAGCATGCCACTGCACTCCAGCCTGGGTGACAGAGTGGGACTCCAAGTCAAAAATAAATAAATAAAGTGTAAAAATTTAGACCACAGATTTAAACTAATAACACTGATGACTGACTTGTTCTTTCAAAAAGCTGTCTTCTAGAGTAATGATTCATGCTGAGAATGAAACAGGGTAGAGCATAAATGTTGCCTCGACTACTGATCACAGGCCATCCCTGACTAGATTAGATTACAGCTGTAAAAACAACTAGAGAAGTTCCTTCTATATATGATGTCTTCCTACCTCAAGAGTCAACCACTTCTTTTTGGAGTTGCCGATTAGAAAAAGCAATGCTTGTGAATATACCTATAAAAGGCTAAGAGGAAAAGAAACCGGAAAATGGAAACTAAGGGAAAGAGTGTGAGAAATAAAAAGATGACCACAACAAATACAATTAAAACCAGGTCAAGAAAAATGTACAAAACATCCAAAGTAAAGAAGCCATGACACGAACATCTGAAGTCAAGCAGTACATGACAATTACCACTGACAACAGGGCCCCTCCACCGCTCAACTAATAACCTATAGCAAAATCTATTTACTACTAAAAGAGACGTCGGAGTAAATGAACTTAAAAAGACCAGTGGGAGCCGGGCTCGGTGGCTCAGCCTGTAATAACGCGCTTTGGGAGGCTGAGATGAGTGGATTGCCTGAACCCGCGGGTTCGAGACCCACCTGGGCAACTTGGCAAGATCTCATCTCTACAATAAATCAAAAATTAGCCAGGCGTGGTAGTGTGCGCCTGCAGTTCCAGCTACTTGGAAGGCTGAGGCAGAAGGAACGCCAGAGCCCAGTAGGTTGAGGCTGCAGTGGCCAGGAGTGGCCATTGCACTCCAGTCTGGGCGACAGTGAGACTCTAACTCAAAAAAAAAAGACCAGTGGGGAAAACATGAGCGTTTTAGTAATATATAAAACAGTAAAAATTGTATCCAAACCATAGCAACCAATTAACACTTACTTGTATCAAAGTATTTACACCGACGTGGACGAATTATTTCCTGGGCATCTTGAGAAGCAACAGATTGTGATGGATCATCATTGGAAGACTGAGTTTCATCCTCCTGACCTGAAGAATCCTTTATGTTCTCTTCCTATAGAATAATAAATTTCTTTGAAATATAAAGAAAACTGTTGCAGATGAAAGGCCATAGTGTTCAAATTTTGTTCAAAATATAACTGGAAGAGTAAAACGAATACCCTAAATGTAACATGTTGTTTGGGGTTAGCTCCTGGAACAGGAGAAAGTACATTAGTGAAAAACCCAGTGAAATCTGACTACCGGTAGCTAGCGGTATTATACTAGTGTTGACTTAGTTTTGATAAATAGATCACTACATAAGAGGTTAACCTGAGGTGAAGAACATGTAGAAAATTTCTATTATCTTTAAACCTCTTCTATAAATCTAAAGTTATTTCAAAATAAAATAAAAATAAATACAGAACTGCCAATTCGTCTTTATTATTTAAAAACAATAGCATTTTTTTAAGAAGTTGGTAAAAATTTAGAATAATCACTGGAGAAAAAGAAGTCTGGAATGACACAGACCAAACTGCTACCTTTTCAGGAGTAGATTATAGCAGATTTCCAATTTTCATATTCAATCTTTCTATAATATCTTAGTTTTTTAACATTTAAACATACTGCTTTTTTAAAATTAAAGAGTTCCTAGAGAACGCATCCTGTGTCTAAAAAATAAAAATAAATAAAACTCAAAGAGTAACGATCATAAAAACAAGTAACCAAAATTAATGCATTAAGAAATTTTAACTTCAACAAGAATAGAGACTACAATCTTGAACATAAATGCATATAGACCTACTTTATTTTCCCCACTGCAGCCACTGTTGTCATCATTATCAGCATCTTCGTCATCTTCCCCTTCTTCTTCCTCTTCTTCCTCTTCCTCATCCTCTTCAGGTAACTGAACAGTACTGTCATAACCATAAAGGCTGAGAAGTTCATGAATTGGCATGTCGCCTTCCTAAATAAACCAAAATAAAAGTCAATTTCTGAATCAGTGACATTTCAGATTCCTAAGCTATAATTCATAAATCTACAGAGTATCCATTCTATACAGCAGAGTACTCTAAGAACTGTATGAAGAATTCTCAAACCATAAAAAGAAAAACTAAAATGTTTCTGAAACCCGGAATATTTCAATCTTTTAAATATTTCTATAAAACTAACCAATTATACTTGTTAACAATAAAATCTTTAAGTATAATTAAAAAGTGACATTCAGTCAGGTACAATGGCTCACACCTGTAATCTCAGCATTTGGGAGGCCAAGGTGGGAGAACCACTTGAGCCCAGGAGTTTAAGACCAGCCTGGGCTATATAGTGAAACCCTATCTCTACAAAAAATTAAAAAATTAGCCAGGCATGGTGGCACATGCCTGTAGTCCCAGCTACTCGGGAGGTGAAGGAAGACTGCCTAAGCCCAGGAGGTCAAGGTTGTGATAAGCCAGGATCATGCCACTGCACTCCAGTTAGGGTCTGAACTCAAAAAAGAAAAAAAAAAGTGACACTGGTTTAAAAATTGACTATTCTTTTTTCAATAAATTCAGGATATACACACTGACAGTCAGTTAACATTATACATGGATGCTCATTAATAAAAGTACCATACTTAATGTGGGGGTGGAAAGATAGAATAATTAAAAAACAGGCCGGGTATGGTGGCTCACGCCTGTAATTCCAGCACTTTGGGAGGCTGAGGTGAGAGGACTGCTTGAGCCCATGAGTTCAAGACCAGCCTGGGCAACATAGCAAGACCCGTCTCTACAAAAAAAATTAATAATCAGTTGGGCATGGTGGTACATGCCTATAGTCCCAGCTACTCAGAAGGCTGAGGTGGAACACCTGAGCGCAAGAGTTTGAGGCTGCAGTGAGCTGTGGTCATGTCACTGCACTCCAGCCTGGTCAACAGAGTGACTTGACTCAAAAAAATAATAGTAATAATTAGAAAGCAGACGTAAACTAAGTTAGCAAATCCAGACAGGGAGATGAAATTCACAGCCCAGCTCAAACACACTGCAAGAAAAACAGTGACATTATATAGGAACAATACTGGATGATATCAGTCATATATTCTTTTCTACAGTAATCGCCATTCACACATAAAACCATCTCATCAATCTTTATCATCTATTATACATAACTGTTATATTATCTCTACTCCACAGATGGGGAAACAAAGGCTGACAGATTAGGCAAATTCTTCAAAAATTACACTAGTTATAAGTAACAGAGCCAGATTTAAACACTCCAACTCCAAAAGCCCATACTCTTGTCAGTACATCAGGGATGTCTCAGCCAGGACTCTCCCACAATCCCCCACAAAAAACACACTCTATGGATGAAATGAAGATGAAGAATAGCCACATGCAGTGAAATGGAACAGCTTTCTATAACAGGTACTCACTCTAATCAGTAATCAAGTAAAGGATCAGAGAAACACAACAGAATTCTAACTATAAAAGGAAAACTGAACCCAAGGCACCTGGACATATTATGCACACACGCACCCATATACCACACCACACACATGCTCTGAAGCAAAACAGGAAACAGTTTAGAAGTTAAAAAAAAAAAGGGTAATAATGAAATAAGACATGTTTTACATTTTTGATTCATGGACAGAAATAAGTCTAGCCCATGTTAAACACATTGCTACAGTGCAGATGGGTAAATCAAACTGGATAATACATGATGGTACTAACACTTAGATCATACAATTAGCCCCCATCACTTCAAATCCATGCACAAGAAGCAATCTAATGTTAATAATCGGAAAAGGTTTCTTTCTTTTTTTTGAGTCAGAGTCACTCTGCCACCTAGGCTGGAGTGCGGGGCACATTTACAGCTGCTGCAGTCTCAACCTCCTGGGCTCAGGCAACCCTTCCACCTCAGCTTTCCAAGTAGCTAGAACCTATAAGCACGTGCTACCATGCCTGGTTAACTGTTTTACTTACTGCAGAGACAAGGTCTCGCCAAGTTGCCCAGGCTGGTAATCCCCTGGGCTCAGGTAATCCTCTGCCTCTGCGTCCCAAAGTGCTGGGATGACAGGCATGAGGCTCCGCACCTGATCTAAGATTTTCTTATGAGAAGAAAATGTCAGTTAACACTTCCAGTTCTCATTGTAAATAAATATTCCAGTTATAAATCAGTTCGTGAATCCATTTCTGAAAGAGAAATCAATTGTGAGAGCCCCTAATTAACTGCAGAAGTTACAGCCTGAGAAGGGGTAGCCCTGGCAAGGAATGACCAGCTGGCATATTTGACAGCTCTCATACTGTGGTCCTCAGAGCACAACACAAACCGTGCTTCAGGATCTGGTCCATGTACAAAGAAGCTGGTTCAGGACATTGATAAATAGGAGCTTGAAGAGTCAGTATTTAAGAACTAAGATAAAACTAAAAGGAGATAGAAAGAGAATAAGAGAAAGACAGAAAAAGACAGTTTATACATAACAACAACAAATAGCTGCCACATGTGTCTTATATGTATCAGGCATTTGTGAGCGGTACTGGGATTTCATTGTCTTTTCCTCTCAAGAATGAAAGCAAAGTCAAAACAATACACAAACTCATTAGATCTTTAAAAGTAACAGATGCAGCGTTTGCTACCATTATTCAGAAATAAGGGAAATAAGCAGGGAAACATCAGCAGAGACTTTACTACAATACCTATATACGGGCCAGGCATGGTGTCTCATGCCTATAATCCCAGCACTTTAGGAGGCAGAGGCGACAGAACTGCCTGAGCCCAGGGGTTCAAGACCAGCCTGGGAAACTTGGCAAGACCCCCATCTTTACAATTAAAAAAAAAAAATTAGCCAGGTGTGGGGGCATGTGCCTGTCATTCCAGCTACCTGGAAAGCTGATGTGGAAGGACAGCCTGAGCCCAGCAGGTCAAGGCTGCAGTGGCCGTGATTGTGCCACTGCACTCCCTCCTGGGCAACAGAGTGAGTCTCTGACTCAAAAACAAAACCTACATATAATACCTAGATTTCCTAACTTTTCTTAGGCTCACATCCTGCACCCCAGAATCAGCAGGTTTAGCAACTGAAGTAACTTCTGTGAATAAGAGCCCAAACAGGAAAAATGCTTTCGTCTAACCAGTTTGCAACTAACGTTTACACAGGTTTGAGAATTCATGAAAAACTTGTTTCATATTTATTTCATTCCTAAAACTATCCGAATATATATTATTACTATCCCTCACCCCCCACTTTTTTTTTGAGTTGGAGTCTCACTCAGTTGCCCAGGCTGGAGTGCAGGGGCAGCTCATGGCCACTGCAGCCTCGACTGCTGGGCTTAGGTAATTCTTCCACTTTAGCCTTCCAAGTAGCTGAAACTATAGGTGCTACTGTAAGTGCTGGAATCCAGCACCACTGACAAATACCTGATACATAGAAGATACATGGCAGCTATTTATTGTTGTGTATAAACTGTCTTTTCTGTGTCTTGCTCTTATTCTGTTTCTATCTCCTTTTAGTTTTACCTTAGTTCTTAAATACTGACTCTTCAAGCTCCTACGTATCAATGTCCTGAACCATACTCTAGGTGGTCCTTTGAGACCACATAGCTAGTTAAAAAGGCAGTGCTCTATTTTAAACTCACCTTCTGACTAGACCGTGGCACTTGGTTCACTCTAAGAGGTAGATTATCAATCAAATAAATGTCCTCAGGTTCTCTCTGCCCTTCGTCTGTCTTACTTAGGGGCATTAGAATCACCTTGAGGGGTTACTGAAACAAGCTGCTGGGCCTCAGCCTGAGTTTCTGACCTAGTAGGTCTTACTTAGATGAAGACTGAGAATCTGTATTTTTAAGAAAAAATTCTCAGGTGATGCTGATGTTCCTGGTATAGAACCATCAATTTCACCGGCATGGTGGCTCTCGCCTACTGTAATCTCAACAGGCGAGAAGACTGTCTGAGTCCAGGGGTTCGAGACCAACCTGAACAACTTGGCGAGACCTCGTCTCTACAACAAATCAAAAAACTGGCCAAGTGTGGTGTCATGTTCCTGTAGTTCTAGCTACTTGGGAGGTGGAGACAGAAGGCTCCTCTGAGCCCAGCAAGTCAAGGCTGCAGTGGCTGTGAGCTTGCCACTGCCCTCCAGCCTGGACAACGTAGTGAGATTCCGACTCAAAAGAAAGAACTATCAATTTCACAGGTAGGACAACTGCAAATCAGCCTTTCCAGTAGGAGATGAACATTATCTCTAATAAAGCTCATCATATCACATATATTCTATATATGATATATGACATCCACCTTAATGACACTTGTCAGAAGAACAAGTGACATACTAATCGATGGCAAAAGGTTTTTTAAAACTACTATCAAGAATGTAGAATGTCTGACACCCATAGGCTAGATCAAGATTTTTCCTTCTTGGATACACAGATGAGGGCTTTGACTCATTCTATAAAAATTCATTTCTCAGAGAAAAACTCAGCAACACCTCCAATATTGACTAAGCAGAGAACAGAGAGAGTCAAAAGTGTCTTGATCACAGTGCATTTAGAGGAGAAATGCCTGAATTAGAAGAAACAGTAACAAAATCGGCAGAGATGGAAAAAAGTCATTCAAATCAGAGGAAATAATAAAAGTACAGGTATAGAAACAAAAATGAATAATCAGATCACCCCAATTAAGAGTAGACATACAATCTATAGTAACTTAAAGCAAAATCATTTCAAAAGACCATACATTACTGAAAGATCAGTTGCAGATTACTGCAAGTCAGGGTTGGTATTTTTACCTACTTTTTCTAGCTTTACCTAGTTCCTAGTTTTTAAAGGAATGTTTATTATATTCTACTTTTGACTCCATTTGAGAGTTGCTATTGAACACTTGTTAATGCTCTGAAAGAGCCTGGGAGAAACGACACACAAAACAACATGTTCAACATGAACTTAGGGAGGGAAGAGTCAGTTTGCCAAGGAGACTGAGCTAGGTGGGGAACCACTGCTT